GCGCCTACGAGGCCTATGGTCCTCGACGGGGCAGCCGGCCGGCCTCTCGCAGGGCCCCCTGGTCAGGAAGTGCCGAAAGAGGAAGAGAGTCGCCGGGCAGGATGAGCACACTGGGGGCCGGCCACAGTACCGGGGGAGGCTGCGATGAGGCTGCGGCTCTGGGCCCCGCGGAGGCTCTGGAGACAGAAGAAGGAGAGCGGCCCGGCGCACTGAGGCAGATGTGGCGCTACCGCTCCTGGGACGTGCCACAGATCCCAGCTGAGGCCCCCCAGTCACAGTAGGTACTTGGGTGGCCGGAGAATGAGCACAGGGACCTCTGGCCCTCAGTCCCTCCATGAGTCTTTTATCTGGGGTTGGGGGAGTGACAGAAGTGGGGTTACGCCCCTCCCTGTGTCCAGTGGCTCTGCAGAGGCGCAGAAAAGGGCAAAGGGGTTCTTGGCAGGGTGAGAAGGGCTCTGTTGTTTGAATTGCTGGGGCGGTGTGGTGGGGCCTGAGCTTGCAGAAGGCTAGGAGTCGAGGGAGCTAACCGCGGGGGGGTCTGGGCAGAGAAGTCCCCACAGGAGTGTGGCATTGGGTGCCTTGTGCAGACTCAGTGGGGTCTTCAGTAGCCTCTGGTCTCCTCCCTCAGAGCTTGGTGTCAGAAGCATTGGGAAACTTTCCCAAAGGGACCCACGCACCCCGGGAGGACCGTGTCCGGCCCACTTGCAGATTTCACTACCACCCTGGCACCTGCAGCTGCTGGGAGGGCTGGTGCCCCATTCCCCTGGTCTCCAGGCCTAGAGGAAACTTGAAGGAAGCTGGGAGAAGGTTCTGAGCTTCTAGATGCTGGCTATTTTTTAAAACGGCAGGCTTGCCCACATGTCACAGCTCCCAGCACTGGCTATGTGTGGCAGGCTGAGGCTGGAAAAGGGGCTGCCAGAACCCCAGAGAGGGTGAAAGTGAAGTGACACAGGATGTGGCTTTGCAGAGAGGAGTGCTAACAGAAACAGCAGGCAGCCGATATGGGCATCAGGGTGGCAGGGTTTGGAGGGCGCAGACCCATACTCTCTAACTTCCTGGGCTCCTTTTGTCAGCCCTGCAGGGGCTATCAGAGGCTGCCCCCAAGCTGCTGATTCTCAAGCACGTGTACTGGCTGTGCCGCCACAGGCGACTGCTCTGGTTCCACTTGCTGTCCTCATCTCTTGAGGGGGACAACCTTTGCTGCCCATGGGGGTGTGTTTGTGTGTGGCTGCGAGGTATATGTAAGAGGGATGTGGCAACATGTAACCGCTGTCCTGGGTTATATTTGGGTATAGGAGAAAGACGTATATGTTCACTGAGGGCATGGATGTTGGGGAATGAGAGTGTGGTCCTTGCTTTTGTGTATGTATTTATGAGTATGTAAGAGGTGTGCAGGTGATTCCTGTAGTGTAAGAGATTTACAGGTTCCGTTGGATATTGTGTTGGGAAAGTGCTATGTGTTAGGAGTGTGAAAGGATTAGAAACAGCTTTGGATTTAGAAAGATGAATTTGAATGAGAAACGTGTTGTTAGTGTGTGTGAGGGTCACTAAGTGACTTTGGTCCTGGTATACATTTCTGAGTGTGAGAGGCTGGTGTGGGAAGTGTTAGTTTGTGTAATGAGTGAGCATAATTGTGTGAGAAGCGTGTCTGTTCTGTGCGTATGGGGAGCACTGTGTGACTTTTGTTCCCGAGGGCGTGATTTGGGAGAGCAAAGAGGGTAGGAGTGGAGATTGTATGAGTGGCTGTGACGGGCACAGGGTGTGCGAGAGAGGTGTCTATTCCTTGTAGATGTGGGAGGGGAGGTGGTGATAGCCACCCTCGCGAGTGTTCACTTGTGAGTATGTAGGTTGTTTGGTGCGGGGAGACGGGGCTAAGAGGGAGAAAAAAAGGTTGCGTGTGCCTGGGTGCGCGCGGGGCGGCTGTGTCGGGCTGGAGATCCTATTCTGATCCCGGAGGCGGACCAGCTGGGGTTGTGGGCGGGGCTCGGTTGCCCCGCCCCCTCTCGACCCCCCGCCCCCTCTGGCGGCCCAGGCGGGTTGCAGCTCGGTCGGCGGCCGGCAGAGGGCGCGGCGGGCCGGTGCCACCGCGTAGCCGAGGGGGCGTGCTTGGCGGCGGGCAGGCAGCGGCCCGGCCAGCTATGCGGGGTCCTGCGGCCGCAGCTGGCGGCATTTCCTGGAGCGGCGACTGCGGCTGCTTCCCCAGCACCTGGGCGTGGAGCGCGGGGGCGCGCGGCGCGGGCCGGGCGGAGCGAGCGCGCGCCGTGGCCGCGGCGGGCGGCGAGGAGCCGGCTTGCTAAGCCCCGGCCGCCGGCCCGGCATGGGCGTCTTCCGCGGGCCCGCCGCCGGCCGGGGCTAGGGCCGGATGGAGCCGCGGGACGGCAGCCCCGAGGCCCGGAGCAGCGACTCCGAGTCGGCCTCCGCCTCGTCCAGCGGCTGCGAGCGCGACGCCGGTCCCGAGCCGGACAAGGCGCCCCGGCGTCTCAGCAAGCGGCGTTTCCCAGGACTGCGTCTCTTCGGGCACAGGTGAGCGCGGCGGCGGCGGCGGGAGGCATCTCTCGGCCACCTGGTACTGACACCGAGCGGGGTGTTCCCGGGCACCGGCGATCCGGGTTGTCTTGGCGTTGGCTCTGCGTGGGGGTCATCCCCCAGCATCCGGGCACTGGCACCGAGTGGGGGTCATTCCCTGGCACCGGCAGCTTAGCGCGCCTTCTCTGTGGTACCGAGGCAGGGGCGGCTTCCAACTCTCCAGCAGGGAGACAGAATTACCTAAACCCCTGGCACCAGCAGGTAGGTCCCCCATGACTGGTCACGATCCCCTTCTTGGCACTGATGGAACAGGGCCCCCTCTGAGCCTCCTGGCCCCAGGGAGGTGGGCGGTCACGTCGCCACTCTGGTCCTCGGTGTGGCCGGGTTGCCTACCACCACTGCGTGACATCCGCAGAACATGGCCTCGTTGATACTACTGTTAACGACCCATGCCTGTCCCGGAGCACTGGTCACAGACCTAATCGCTCAGCATTTTCAGCTTCTCCTTGGAGTTGGGGGTTCCTGGCCACCTGTTTTACAATGCTCTTAATTAGCAGGGCGACCTCAACCTCTGCTCTGCTAGGCAGTAGGCATATCTCCCCCTACCCGCGTCTAGCCCTGCTGGGAAAGGGATCGGGTGCTGACTCTTCAAGCTCTATCTTGGCCTCTCCCCCAGCACGCCAAATGTCACCATATTGTGCCTGTGACGGGGCTTTGACCAGGACTCTGGTGAGGAACTGTGGGGAGGGTGTGGAAAGATTGAGTGCAGGCAACCCGTGGCATGTGTGCTGGTGTTGGCTGGGAGCCGCTTCCTGCCAGTGCAGCTCTGGTGGAAGGTGAGGGGAGATGGAGCCCCATGAGGACTCCACCTGGCTCCCTGGACTTCTCCCTGGCTTACCCTGTCCTTCTACAGTGGCCACGGAGCTTGCAGCCTGTCAGCTCAGGACCCCAGAGCCAACTCAGACTGGACTCTGACCGCTTGGAGTCTGCCCAGGGCCTCCCTCTCACTTTTCTTCAGTTGTCCAGGCTTCATGGCAATTGGCCCCCCGAGCTTTGCCCTGTCCCTTACCAGGGTTGACCTCACCCACCAATAACAGGGGTCGTTTTTTTCTGTACAAGTTGGCATCCCTGTAATGCTGACCTGTGCCCCCTGCCTGCCCTACCCTAAGCAGGGCCCTGCTCTTTGTGCCTGCACTGTGTTGCCACGCACAAAGATCTGGATCCTCACACTGGCAGATGGAGCTCTGTAGGCCCTTGTGAAACCAGGCAGGCTTCAATGCCACATAAAACGGGGCAGGGAACAAAGCTTCTCGTACCTCTGTTTTGTCACCCACAGCCCTGCCTGCCGGAGCAGTTTACACCCAGCTCTGCAGGATGTAGCCTCCAGTGTTCACAGGCTTGTGAGGGGGAGGGAGGGGCTCCGCCAGAGGCTTCCTGTCCCTGCCCACAGGGTACCAAGTGTCAGGCTCTTCTGACCTCTGGCTGTTGCCCCTTGTGAAGGGCACAGGTTTGTGCGTGTAGCAGTGAACCTCAGACACATTCAGGAGGAAGGATAAGAAGTAAGAGAACAGCAAGTACCTTTACATAATTCTCTAAAATAATCAGGACAGATGTTATTTCTCCATTTTTATAGATGAGAAGAACACAGGCTCAAAGAGATGAGTAGTTTGCCCAGAGTCACGTAGCAGGTAAGAGGCAGAGATAGAGTTTGAACTCTAGTCTGATTCCAAAACCCACATCCTTTTCTCTATACCAGGTTCCCAAACAGAACATCACAGTGACCTCGGGTGCTTTAGGAACTACAGATTCCTAGATCTTACCCTTGGCATGTCTGACTCATCAGGTCTGGAGATGGGGCTGGGCTTTTTTTTTTTTTTAATTTATTTTTGGCTGCGTTGGGTCTTCGTTGCTGCACACAGGCTTTCTCTAGTTGCAGCGAGCCAGAGCTGCTCTTCTTTGCAGTGCGCGGGCTTCTCATTGCGGTGGCTTCTCTTGTTGAGCACGGGCTCTAGGCACGCGGGCTTCAGTAGTTGTGGCTCGCGGGCTCTAGAGCTCAGGCTCAGTAGTTGTGGCGCACGGGCTTAGTTGCTCCACAGCATGTGGGATCTTCCCTGACCAGGGCTCCAACCCATGTCCCCTGCATTGGCAGGCAGATTCTTAACCGCTGCGCCACCTGGGAAGCCCCTTTTATTTTTTTAAATTATTTTGTTTATTTTATTTTTGGCTGCGTTGGGTCTTCGTTGCTGTGCATGGGCTTTCTCTAGTTACACCGAGCGGGGGCTACTCTTCGTTGCAGTGCACAGGCTTCTCATTGCGGTGGCTTTTCTTGTGGCAGAGCATAGGCTCTAGGTGCGCAGGCCTCAGTAGCTTTGGCTCTCAGGCTCAGTAGTTGTGGCCCGCGGGCTCTAGAGCACAGGCTCAGTAGTTGTGGCGCACGGGCTTAGTTGCTCCGCGGCATGTGGGATCTTCCCGGACCAGGGCTCGAACCCATGTTCCCTGCACTGGCAGGCAGATTCTTAACCACTACGCCACCAGGGAAGTCCCGGGGCTGGGCATTTTATAAAGCTTCCCAAGTGTTTCTAAGGTGCTACCAAGTTTGAGAACCACAGTATTACATTCACTCTGGGGATGGTAAGTGATCTGACAGGATGCCTTAATGAGAATAAAATCAAACAGCATCTTCGGGAGTGTGTAAGGACTCTCCCCTGCATAGTTGCATTGTGCTGGGGCATTGGGGCACACAGAAATGAATGTATTTGGAAAACCCAGTAGAGTCAGGGAGAGGGCAGCGGACTAAAGACTTCCCCCTGACAAGCCTGGGCGTTTGGAGAATCAGATGTCCACGGGGCTGATCTGCCTCCCCTTGCTTTGACTGGAGGCTGGGGGGACAGATATTTGGAATAGTGCACCGCCTTGGCACCGTCCCTTTAATGCTGTTTACTTGGTCCTGCCACCTTTGCGAGTTGCCAGTCTCAAAACTCCCCAGTGCCCCAGCTGAACCTAGCCCTCCGTCTTTCCCCAGGCTCCAAGCTTATTCTCAGTCCGGCTCTTGCTGCTCACTGGGCATCCACCCTCTGAATTTACCCCTTCCTGCTCCCCTCCCCCACCCAGCCATACACACTTCAGGCCTTGGGGCTGAGGGACCTGCAAGGCAAACAGACAGTGGCTGGAAGGGAGGATAACAAATAGATTGGTCATGGCTGCGGAAGCTGTATTGAGACTTCTGCATTCGGATCTTGGCTCAGTGGTAGAGTTCTAGAATCGTCTAGCACTCTCTGCTGTGGGCTTGGGAGGTGTAGTGATGGTACATGGGCCGCATGTTTGCCATTCCTGGTCTGGTCTGGTAGAACGGTCTGTGAATGGCAGCCTCTTTGGCATCTTCCTTAAAGAGGCTTTTTCTTAAAGCCCACTGCAGCCTCCCACATCTGGTTCACCCTCTGGACTCTGGGGAGCAGTTTGCCGTCTCCCCTTTTTTATTTAGCCCAGTAAGGCACATGGCTGAGCCATGCTCCTCCCCAGCTCCATTCCACCTCGCCTGTCCTTGCCGGGAAACGTCAGCCACTCCCACATGAGGAGGTGTAGGTTCTGCCCTCCCCAGGGCATCTGGGTTTCCTCTGTCCTTACCGTTCAGATTCTATTGGCCTTGAGGGGTGGTCAGTCAGAAGTGGGAGGGAAGTTGACTCTGCCTCCTCCTGCTCTTCCAGGGCCCACCTGGAGAGGACCCCCTCACCCTCTGGCCCTGTCCGTCACGCAGCTTGTGGATTAACTGGTTTTGCACCTCAGCGGCATCAGAAATTACCAGCACTTCACACATCTAGACGGAAGGCACCTCAGCCTGCAGAGCCCCTGGGAGCCTAAGCGTTGGCTCTGCCACCCCTGCCCTTCATTAGTGCTTAAAGTCATTCATTCCTAGAGGGCAGAAAACGCACCTGTGGGACAAGTTTGAGACAGTAGGTCCCATTTAGAGGTGATGCCATGCGGGGCCAGGTGTCCTGAAGTCCAGGGTGGCAGAGCGTCCCCGCCGGGCAGCCTGAGCAGAAGCAGTGCCGGTTTGGGTTGATTTTGCAATGATCCGGAAGGGACGTGTTGAGGGATGCCCCACGTTTGGAGGCAAGAATCTGGGCTGTGGTGCCGGGATGTCTGGGGGCAAAAGGTGCCTCTTTGAGTGGTTTGTCTTGCTCAGGCTAATTCTGGGAGCTGCCCAGGTGGCCAAGGGAGGCAGGTGTAAGCCAGAATCCCTGGGTTCCCGCAGGTTTGGGAAGAAAAAGGGGCCTCGGTGACTGAGCCGTGCATCGGCTCACCTCGCTCTGCCTGTTCCCCACGCGACATGGTGTGCCAGCGTGGAGCCGGCCAGGCCGGGACCTGGGTTGGGAGCCCACGGTCTTCCCTCTGCTGCCACACACCCGCCAGCGGCTCTGGCTTACAGGCCAGGGGAGGGGGCGGGCAGCTCGTCATTTTTTCTCCGTGCTGTCCTCCGAAAAGGTCAAGTCTCAGGATGTGGAGCCGCCTGGGACTCTCACTTGGCAAAAGAGAGCACGAGAGTGGGTGTCCTCCCAGGCAAGGACGGAGGAAGGACTGAGTGACCCTGGGAGAGGGAGAAACAGGCCTGCCTCTGCCGCTTCCTAGAGCCCTCTCCAGAATTCACCAGTCGCCCCCCGAGCAGAGGGGGAGCCGAGTGGGCATGCTGGCCCCGAGGCTTGGCCTGTGCTGGTCCCTAGGAGAAGCAGAGGTTGGATCCCTGTCCCCCGACAAAGGCGAGAGAGTTTCCAGGTCCAGGAGCTGACTGGAAACTTGACCTGCAGTGTCACTAGAGCGACACAAGGGGGCGACAGCTGCCACGGTGGGGCCGTGAGAGGGGAGAGTCCCTTTGCTGCCGTCCGTCCACTTGTACCACAGGCCTGCTGTGAGTGGACCCACACAGACCCCCGCTGCTGAGCTACCTGATACTCTGGGTGCGGCAGAAGGCAGGCTGGGCGTGAGCTTCCACATCACCTGGCCCGACCCCTCCCCCTCTCTGAAGATTGAGGTCCAGTGCATTGACCTTGACTGGGCTGAGGTCTCACAGCTAACTAGGGGTTATCTGGGACTTCAGTGCCAGTCCCCTAACTCCAGCAGCATGTCAGTTTGTACCACATCACAGGATCCCAAAGGCTTCCCTGCTTTTGGAGAAATCCTCATCCGGCACCTTCCGACCTGCCCTCCGCCTCCCCTCCCCGCTGCCGCCACCTGAATAATTCTCTAGGTCGGCATGGGGGGCAGGACAGCGTGGGCGGGAGGGGGCAAGCCCTGCACCTGCATCCAGGCTCACCGTCTCGCCTCACTCCTGGGCGAGATTAGCAGGGTGCACCTCTGGGTGATGCTAGGCACTCATTTCTTGCCCCCCTGAACTGCTTCCCCTGTGCTTCACGTGTGGGAGCCCCTGATGCCCTTAGGATATCATCCTCACCTAGGGCTGCCGTGTGGCTTCTCAGCACGGGCCTGCCGGGCACTCCAGTCACAGGTGGGAATCTTGGAAGGCAGTTTCAGGTGGAATAGGGCAGGCCAGAGCAGTGACCAGGTGCCCTTGAGGAGCTATCATTCTGCCGTCTCTCCTCGTCTGCCCCCTTCCTCAGCTGAGACGCCAGAGGCATGATTAGGTGGTGCAGAGCAGGTTTGATGAGACCGAGGGCTCTGTGGCCCAGGTGGAGGAGGGAGAGGCCGAGGAGATGAGCACTCCCACCTGCCGCCCCTCTTACACTCACCTGGATGCAGGGGATGTGCCGGCTCATCTTTCTCTGGCCATTAACGGTGGCCAGAAGCTTGTAAATCCATCAATTTCATGTAATCCTCTGAACAATCTTGTAGTTGATTTTATTCCCATTTTACAGATGAGACACCAAGGCTCAGCGAGGTCAGGGGCCTGGCCCAGGATCATGCAGCTTACGCTGGAGCCCAAACCCAAGTATCTTTTCATAACATCAGGCTGCCCTACTTACTAGCACTCCTTTCTTCTATTCTTTTATTTTCCCATCACCAAACTGGTAGAGCCTAAGAAGGGGTTTAAGTGCTTGAACCCCTTGAAATTGAGAGATCTTTATCTTGTGTGGGAGTAGAGTGAGGCCCTTGAAATGATCTGTGCCCCAACCCCAAGGGAGAACTGCCACCAGGATCCTAGCCCCAGGAGGAGCAAGGCTGAGCGGGGTGGGGTGGGGAGACCCTTGGGTAGGGAGACTCGGGTTGTAAGGAGGATGTCATGTGGCTCCCTGGCTGGATCTGGAGTGGAGGAGCAAGTCTGGGACCTTTCATCTTGCTTTCAAAGTGCAGGGAGCAGACGACTCAAGGGACGTGTTCACAGGAGCTCCAGATATCACCCTGGAGTCAGTGGGGGGCCTGTGGCCTGGGGGGAGGTGTTAAGGAGGAGAACACAGCGCACGGGGCCTCACGGTGAGAGGTCTGAAGAGAGAGGGAGGGCCCCCGAGCTCTCTCCCTCCACTGTAGAGACCTCCCCGCCGCTTGCACCTGGCCTAGCGCCAGTTCAGAGCTCCCACATAGAGGCCTCTCCCCTGCCAGGGCTGAACCAAAATAGCTGTCTAGGAGCCTGGGCCGCGCCGCCCACGCCGCAGCATCTCGCGGGTTAACAGCTTGCCTGTCTCTCCGCCCCCCTTCCCCAGCTAGCTGACATTTTACTGGGGCGGGGGTGGTTGTGAAAGGGGGCCCCAGCCCACGCAGACACCCCACTGACGCAACCTGTCAGCCACTCGCCCTCCTCTGAAAGGCATCCTTTCGGGTGAGACCTTCCTTCCGGCTCCACAGATATGGGGTTCCTACCAGGAGACAGTGTAAGGAATACTTGGGGCTCCAAGGGGTAAGGGGGAGTGCTGCTCCTGGCAGATGCCACTGCTGAAATCCACCCATGGAAGACCCAGGGCCACCCCCCGGAAGCTGTTCTCCCTCTGGGGGCCTTTTTTTTTTTTAATACTTTAAAATCTTTTGAAAAGCATTAAGTATTTGCCCTGAGGAAAGTATACAGAATAACGTTAACACCTACCACTTAGCTTGGTCAAATCTTACCATTATGCCATATTTGCCTTAGACAGAGATGGAGGCCTCCTTGTCTCCCTCCCCAGGAGAAACGACAGTCCTGATTTGGTTGTTTACATTCTCGTGCCTGTTTTAAGATTTTTTTTTCCTGTGTATGTATGCATCCACAGTAACACATAGTACTGTTTTGTATGGCTTTGCCCTTGAGTTAAATGGTGTATTGTACGTATTCTGAATTTAGGTTTTTTCCCTCCATGTTGTTTCAGAGATTTAACTGTCTTGAAACACGAGCAGTAGTGTGAAGCCATTTTAACTGCCATACACCATTCCTTTTTGTAACTGTTGACGGACATTTAGGTTGTTGGTAGTTTTCTTGCCATTGCAAGTAATCCTTCAGAGACTGTGCTGGGACACGGCTCCTCGTGTGTTCTGTCCACCAGTGCTTGGTTACAGAGCAGTGTATCTTCAGCTTAGACAGTTGTAGCCAAGTTGTGCACTAAAGTGGTTATCCTAATTTTTAGGCCTCTGGAGTTATTTTTCTGTCTTTAAAGTTTTGGTAAACTGAGGAATGGGTTACCATGAACACTTTCTCTTTCAAGCCCGCAATATCCCATGAGGAAGACAAGGTGGTATTATCCCCATTAATCCGATGAGGAAATTGAGGCCCAGCCAGGGTAAGAGACTCAGCTTGAGGTTGCGTAGCCGGTCAGAGGCAGGACACCTCTGGACCTTTGAGTCCAAATCCTCGGAAAGCACCTTTGACCCCTGTGACCTCTCAGGAAGATTGGAGGCACATTTTCTGTCTTCGAGGCAGGAAAAAGAAAAACAAAAAAACCCTGTGTGGAGTGCATGAAGCCTGGGAGGCCGAGTGGGGCCCTGGGGGCTGACAGCTGATTCTAAGAAGATCTTCTAGTAGATGGAGGAGGGAGCAACTTGGTCAGAAGAGTCAGAGGGGGAGTTAAATTTTGAATGAGGGATAAGGGGGAATGCTGCTCCTGGCAGATGGGGAATGGGAGCCTGCTGCAGACACAGGAGAAGGCAGCAAGAGGGACCAGTCACAAGAGAAGAGGGACGTGGGGGCCAGCAGGGGCTTCGTAACGCTCCCAGCAAGGTGTTGCGAGACTCAGAGGGAGACATATCGGCATTCCCATCAGGGATCGATTTCACTATGTGCCTCTGAGACACAGGAGCTCAGCCCACACCAGCAACTTGTCCACCCAAGGCTGGCAGGAAGGCCTCCAGAACTGGCCAGCCACTGGGTCACTGCGCTGGCCCACAGCCCTTTGCTCTCAGCGTGATCCTCGAGGCTGAGCCTGGACCATTCACCTTTCCCTCCATTCACTCTTCAAACCACATCCAGCACTTCTAGACCCTGGGGATGCAATTATGAGTAACACATGGTCCCAGGGGCGCACGGTCTGGTGGGGGATACCAAGCTGCAAACCAGCGCTGATGGCCCAGAACAACCAAGAGAGGGCCTGAGCGTGGGAGCAGCTAGCGCCCGGGAGAGGAGGCTGGGGAGAACTTTCCGGCAGAGCCGATATCTGAGCCAGCTCCGAAAATATGAGAGGAAAAAGATGAAGGAGCAGAAGAAGAGAATGGTGTTCCAGGCAGAGAGACTGTCAGGTGCCACACACACAGGCAGGAAGAGACCCCTGTGCGTTGCTTGACAGACGCATCTAGAGGTAGAGTGAGGGATTGAGAGCACAGACCCGGAGCAGACTCCTAGGTTGGAATCCCAGCTCTGCCACTTACTAGCTGCGTGATCACAGGCAAGTTGTTTAATCTCTTTGTGCCTCGGTTTTCTGATGTATAAACTGGGGATAATACTACTATTACATTTTATGAATAAAAAAAGTTAGTATTTGTAAAACACTTAGGACGGTGTCTGGCACAGAGTGAGTTATGTATTTGTCAAGTAAAATGTAAAAAGTATGAAAGCGAGATGGGAGAGGAGGCCGAGAAGCCTGTTGACTGCCAGGCCCAGGCCTTTGCATTCTGTTCCCTGACAGTAGAGAGCCATTGAAGGATACGTGGACACTTTAGGATGAATTCTGGTGGCAGTAGGAGCATGGTTTAGAGGGGAGGCTCTAAAGGCATGAGCCGGTCATTAATTCCACAGACATTTCTCCAAGGCCTACCAGGAGCCAGACCCTGAGACAGGGACTCAGGATACAAGGAGAGAGAGACTGGGGATGTTTCAGCAAGGAGCTCAGAGCTGGGGTCCTGGCCTGCCCCCCACCCCACGGCATCTGAGGCAACCGCTCCTCTCCCCTCCTTGCCCACATCTTCACCTGTGACTTCATGTCACCAAACCCTGTTGCCGGGTTTCATAAGGAAAGCCTTGGAGAATGTGGAGTGGGCAGTGGCACCCAGCCCGGAAAGGAGCCTCAGCTGTCACTCTCTGGGTCCTCTGGAGAGGAGGCTGCTGCCATCCCCCTGTGCCCAGCAAAGAGAAGTAGCCTGGGCCTTGTGGTCAGCCCTTGGGTGGGGTACCCGAGGTGGAGGAAGCCCTTCTCCTCCCCTTACGGCTCTGGTCCCTCCCCGACGGAATTCCCTGTTCCTTCCTCCTCAGCCCATCAGCAGTAAACACTGGACTCACTGCCAGGCAACGTGCTGAGCTGCCCAGGTGCACTAGATCTGGCCCCTGGCCCCCCAGGAGCTTGTCTGGTGGGTGGGAGGAACGAGGCATATGGATTGGAGAGAATCAGGACTTCCAGGGGTCCCATGGCATAGGAGCCAGATGGGTGGTGTGGAGTCATCAGTGGGAGTGAGGTACTCTTGGCTGGGGCAGCTGTGAGCAGGTGGGATTTTGATACGAGGTGAGGAAGGAGGCCGGTATTCCAGGCAGAAGGTATGCCATGTGCAAGGACACAGCAGTGAGCTTGGGCTCAGCCAGATTAGGGGGCAGAGAATAAGTTGCCTTGGTTAGCACCAAGGGTTGTATCAAGGCATAGGAAGTTGAGTTAGTGCCACATTGCAGAAGCCACGTTTGCTAGGCTAGAGGATTTAGAATTTATTCTGAATCAGTGGTTCCCAAAGTATGGTCCTGGGGTTGCCCTTGACCCTTTCAGGGGATGGTTGAGGTCAAAACTGTTTTCATAATAATACTTTCAGAGCTGCCCTAGTTTGTGTCCTTCTTACTGTGTTGATATTTGTACTTATTGTATAAAAGCAACTGTGGGTAAAACTACTGGAGCCTCGGCACCGACAAAGGCAGTGGCCCCAACATAGACTTGTAGCCATTGTATTCTTCACACTCACAACAAGAAGAATGCAGTTAATATATTAATCTTCTAAAGCCTAAATCCTTGAGTACACTTTTTTAAAAGTTCTGTGTGAAGAAATGTGAAATATACATACAGTACTTTTGCTGCAAACCGAACTATGATGGCTGTCTTGAAAAAGCACTTCTGTGACTGAGTTGCGAGCCCTACTCGTCCTTTTTTCGTTTTTTTAAGGAACACCATTTAAACTTGAAGGAGCACCTGACGACAGACAGAACTCTTCAGATTTGGGTATTTAGCAGACGTTTTCTCAAAAATGAATGAAGTGAGCTTGTCACTTCAGAAACAGTATCAGTATTTGTTGCTATTGATAAAATTTGAGTGAAAATTACAATTTTGGAAACTTTGTTCCAGTGTGTGGAGATCTGCCTAACTCAGGAAACCAGTATTTTCCAATGACCTATGCTTGATGTTTCAAAATTCAGAATGCAAGACAGACCAGTGAAAAGTTCAGATTCCACGTGGCCACTAACCTTTAAGAAACTACCACTTGTCATGTTTGGGTGTAGTAGCAGAGAAGAACATCCAGAATTGCGTGAAAAGGCTATTAAAATGCTCCTTCCTTCTCTAACTGCCAGTGGGACGCAGAATTTTCTTCATGTACTTCAACCGAAACAACATATCACAACAGATTGACTGCAGAGGCAGATGTTAAAATCTAGCTGTCTTCTATTAAGCGAGACATGAGAAATTTGCAAAAATTAAAACATGCCACCCTTCTCACTACTTTTCGGTTTTAGAAGATACAGTTTATTTTTCATAAAAGTATGTTATTTATATTAACAGTTACTGGGTTTATTGTTTTTCAACAAATGAATAAATAGTATTTTAAATATTTCTCAGCTTTAGTTTCTAATATGATCAGTGTTAATAGCTATAACCCCCATAAACAAAACCGTTTGGGGAGCTTCAATAATTTTTAAGAGTGTAAGGGGGTCCTGGGACCAGGATGTTTGAGAGCTGCCACTCTAGATCCTAGGGGCTAGGAGTGTTAACGGAGGGGTGGCGTTCTAGGCAGGATGGGTGTGACATGGGCTGGCTGGCTTCTGGATCTGACAGGCCCCCGTGGCAGGGCTGGGAAACCCAGGATCAGGAGGCTCCGCTCAGCCACTTGTGAGCTGTGGGCAGTCACGGGCCTCCGTGAGCCTCAGCTGCCCTGGGGGTTCAGCTGGGAGCAAAATGCCCCTTGCACAGGGGAGTTACAAGCCTCCTGTCCGGCAGTGCTTGTGGAAAAGTGCTCAGTAAGTCGTGAAACACGCCACAGATGCTTATTTTTGCGGTTATTTTGTCTGAAGCCGGTGCTTAGCTGTCTCAGCTGCTTTCCTCAGATCCCGGAATACCTGTCCAGTGGGTGCGAGAGGGTGTAGGGTGACCTGCCTCTTCTCCCCGCAACCCTCCCGGAGCTGAGGCAGGGGCTGAGCTGTACCGGGGGCCGCGTGGAGGGGAGGCTACTGAGCTGTTGCTCAGCCGGCCTCTGGGGACTTTGGGAAGAGAAGCCAGGAGGCGAGGCTCGTGCGCGAGTGTGTGCCCGCCCACTGCCTCCTGCTTGCACTGCTGGGAGAGGAAGTGCAGTCACTTACCGATAGGGTTATTTTCATAACGGCCGTCTCAGGCGTGGGGGAGGAGGGTGGCGAGGGGGAGGGGCAGGGGAGCAGCCACAGCAGCTCACTCCCCAAACTAGGACTTGCTCAGCCGGAGGCCGGCCTGGAGCTGGAGCGGAGCCGGGGCTCGCCTGCCCCCCACCCCCGCCCCCAGGACCCCAGCCCGCTGGCCCACCTCCTGCCTGCCGCCCTGCCTTCCAGATCAGGTCAAAGGGGCTTGCCTCAACCCTTCCTTGCCTTCTGCTTCCTCCCTCCTGGATCTGTCTGGGTGGGCCTGGGGAGGGGTGGATCAGGGCGGGCCCGGGCACCACCATCCCCAGTCGAGGCTCCTGAAGCTGATGGAAAGGGACCGGCAAAGCGTAGGCCAACCGAGCTCCTGTCTGAGCTCCTGTCCCCGAGCCAGGGCAGGACCCTGTTGAGGTAAACATGACTGGCCTGGTCGCCTCCTTTGCCATGCAGCCCTGGCCCACCTCTCCCCGCTGTGCATTCTGGTTTGGTTTGGTTTGGTTTGGGCAGGATCCTTTTAGTGAACAGAGACCTAGGACCACTGCCTCACCAGCCCCAGGCAGGCCCCCTTTCCAGCCGTCCCCGTCTCCTCCCCTCCGACCTCAGCCTCAGGGCCGTGGGAGCAAAGCAGCCAGAGGTGGCTTCTGAGCAGCAAGACCCTGGGGAAGCAGCTCCAGGCCCCGACGCTGGGGCTGCTGGAAATGGGGCCACACGGCACCCTTCCCAGCCTGCACCGAGAAGAGGGGCGTGAGGGGCCCGTCCACAGTGTGGAACGGGCACTCTGACTGAATCCCACAGGGCGGCCTGTGTGAGCACCTCTGGAAGCAGAGGGGTCCCTGGGGGCCAGGCCTGGTGCCAGGGGCAGAGGGCGTTCATCACAGCAGGAGCAGACACCCAGGCGGCTCTGGCTGCCAGGCTCTGTTCCTCAGGGGGTGGGGGTGGCCATCCTGGGAGCTTCAGCTTCCCCTTCCGGGTTCCCACCCCCACCGTGGGCAGAGACAGACCCCAGGAGGTGACACTATCCACACGCCCTGGTGTCTGCTATAGGCGTAGGCCCTGCCCTGCCCCTCCTCTCTGCCAGCCGCAGTCAGGTACTTTCTACTGTTATCTCATCCGAACCTCCCTTATGTCAAACCTCCTAAACTAGGTCGTTTCATCCCCATTTTTCAGATAAGAAAATTGAGACTCAGAAAGGTTAGTTGGTCAGCCCAGGAAAGCAATGGCAGATACAGGATGCCAAGGCTCATGGGCTTTTCCACTTGAAGCTAACATAGAGTGTGGGACAGTCTGGCTGGGAGGCCAAGAGTCCTGTGCTTCCTAGGCAGTCGCCGATGAAGCTGAGGCACTCGTGTCCGCTCACCCCCGGCAGCTGCCTTAGCTTGGCCACCTGCAGCCCCACTCGGTGCTGTTCACCGGGGTGCATGGCCAGCCACCACTGTGCGTGTCTCCCTGTAGCATCCTTTGTCCTCCCCAGGCTCCCAGCAGCCAGTTGACGGGGCCCGTGAGTCCTTTCCCACTCTGTCCCCTTCGGGTGTGACAGGATTACCTCAGGTCCCCCACTGGGAGGCTGAGGGGCAGCCATTCGTGCTCTGCTGTTGGTGTTAGAGCCCTGTGGGGCGTCCTCCGGTGACCTTTACACGTACCATGTGGTACGTGGAAGGTGACAGAGCGTGAGGTGACAAGAAGCTGCCACTCGGAGCTGTGCTGTGGGGAGAAGCTCCACGCCCAAGCAGGGGAAAGGCTGGGACAGACCTGAGACCAGGCTGGGCTTCTGAGCAGACCCAGGAAAAGCCTCAGCAGAGATAGGAAGTCAGGAGTCAGGCCACTGCTGACCAGAGGACAGAGGTTTCTATGGAGACGGGAGGAACAGGAAGCATGGGGCCTGGGGGGAGCGTAGAGGAGTGGGTGCCTTAGAGGAGAGCTTGTCATAAGGCGTCAGGTCAGCCAGCTGACTGCCTCCTTGGACCAACAAGGAGACTGAGGCCCGTGAGGGAGGGGCTTTGCACGTGGCCACACAAGGCCAGGCTGGCCTAGCCTGCCCCGCCCCGCTCGCAGTGACTGCACCGTCAGGCCCCTGAGGAGACCCCGGGGCAGTGTGTGGGCTCGAACGCGGTAGGGGAGCACCTGTAAGTCGCCCCCGTGTCATGAGGCGGATGTGCGGGCGACCTCGTCCTGCCGGCGCCTCTTGTCGTGGGTCTGGGGCAGTAGGCAGGGTCCAGCCCTCACTGCCACCCAGAGAGCAGCTGCCGCACCCCACCCCACCCCCAGTGACTGTGGCCTTTTGTTTTCTGGGTGACACTCGCATCAGGCGGTGTGTTCGGCTGACTAATCTCCTCCGGGCTGGGCAGCTGTCACAGGGCGGCCTGACCAGGCGGGCAGGGAAAGCTGATACCCTGGGGCAGTGCTGGCAAGCCAGTGCCCTGGGGCAGTGGGCAGCTGGGCCTTTAGGCTCCTCTTCCTGGGTGCAGAGCAGACCCTGCGTCAGGCAGCCCTGGGTTCAGGTCCCAGTCCTGCCGCTGACCAGCCGAGGGATCTTGGAGCACGTTACTGCACCCCTTCAAGCCTGTTTCCTCATCTCTGTAATGGAGCCATCGATCCTGCCTCAGGAGGTGGTGGTAGTGAGGATCAAATGAGATGATAAGCGAACGCACTTCGCCCAGGGCCCGTCGCATAGTAGGTGATGGGTAAATGGGACCGCTACTGTCCTTGTTATGGCTCCCTTCCCTCCCCCGCATCCCACCTTAGTCCCAGCTCATGGCCCAGCAGGGAAGTCCCTGCTCTCTGCCACGTCTCTGGGGCGCAGGCTTTGGGGTTCAGGTAGAGGCAGGTTCCAGCAGCGGCTCCGCACAGACTAGTTGTGCACTTTGGGCAAGTTACCTCCGCAGTCTCCCATGAGGAACAGGGCATGATACAGTATCTATTCTTTAGGGTGCTGTGTTTATTTATTTAAATTTTATTTATTTTTGGCTGCGTCAGGTCTTCGTTGCCCGGCTTTCTCTAGTTGCAGCGAGCAGGGGCTGCTCTTCACTGCGGTGTGCGGGCTTCTCATTGCGGTGGCTTCTCTTGTTGCGGAGCACGGCCTCTAGGTGCGCAGGTTTCAGTAGTTGTGGCTTGCGGGCTACAGAGCTCAGGCTCAGTAGCTGTGGCGCATGGGCTTAGTTGCTCCGTAGCATGTGGGATCTTCCCGGACCGGGGCTCGACCCCGTGTCCCCTGCATTGGCAGGCGGTTTTTTGTTTTTTGCTTCCTCTAGTTCCGGCAAGCAGGGGCCACTCTTCATCGCGGTGTGCGAGCCTCTCACTGTTGCGGCCTCTCTTGTTGCAGAGCACAGGCTCCAGATGCGCAGGCTCAGTACTTGTGGTTCATGGGCCTAGTTGCTCCGCGGCATGTGGGATCCTCCCAGACCAGGGCTCAAACCCGTGTCCCCTGAATAGGCAGGTGGATTCTTAACCACTACGCCACCAGGGAAGTCCCTAGGGTGCTGTGGTTTATAAAATGGTACACATGTTTGCAGAGGGCTTAGAACCGTGCCTGTTACAGGTGGGCGCTCAGTAAACGTAAGCCATGATGGCATTGACTTTAGGAGGAAGCCAAGAGCTCTCCTGCCTTTCTCCCTGTCACCTGCAGAGGCTGGCAGACTGTAAGAGGCAGAGACCCGGAGCTAGGCAGACCCGAGCACTGCTTCCCCAGGCATGGGTGCCTCCGTGTCAGTACCTCCACAGCCATCCAGGGCCCTGCCTGACACTGCCTGCCCGGGCCCACAGGGCAGTAGCAAATCAAGGGTGGGGGTGTTGGATGGGAGGAGTAGGCGCTGGACATGCAGCCCAGCCCCGATTCCTCAGACGCATCATCTTCCACCTTTTGTCCAGGGCTCCCACCCTCTCTCAGAGGCCCTCAGCTAGCAGAAGTATCTCTCCTGTCAGCCCCAGGCAGGTGTCCCATGGCCGTGACTCAGACCTCCCTGTGGCTGCCAGGGCCCAGGAGAGTACTTGATGGCAGGACACAGGTGTCCCTGGGAATTCTGGAGGCGTTGCCCCCCTGAAGCATACCAGGCTTCCTGCCCCTCCCTCACTGTTAGGGAGAGGTGAGGGCGCAGGTGCTCCCAGCCGCCTGTGCGGAAGGGGCGGCAGGGGGTAGGTGAGCTGGCAGAGGAAGCGGAGCCTGTGTTCAGACCAGGTCAAGGGAGGATGGGTGAGCAAGGGTGGTCGCCAAGGCTCCTGCAGGAGGAGCTCTGGGTAGCTTAGTGTCTGGAATTCTCAGCATTTGGGCTTCGAGCATTGGCCCCCAGGTCAAGGTGCAGTTCATGGGCTTCCTCAGCAGCAGAGCTGGAAGGGTTTTCTGACATCATCCAGCATTTTCACACATGGAATGTCCTTACTGTGCCTCTTCAGAAAGGTAAGACCAGAAAAGTTCTTACTGCCGGCCCCTCAGAGCAAGAGCACACACACACCCAGAGGCAGAGGCGCTCTCTCGGCTCTCGTGGCTTCCCACACAAAGTCCCCCTGGTGGCTTCTCTCCCTGTGCAGCTGCCTCTCCAGTTTTCGGGGGGCCTTAGTTCCCCGGGGCCTTCAATCCCCAAGGCAGACGTCAGATCCTCTCCATTTCTAGTGCCACTGTCAGCCTGACTGCAAGTCAGGGGGTCGTATCAGGACTGAATTTCTCTTCAGAGAGCCTCGTTTTCTTACCATGGCTTGGTTGGTGCCATGTTCCGGGAGGGGACACCTAAGCCTAACCTGCCCTCTGTTGGTGGCAAAACAAAGGCCTAAGGAGAGGAAAAGCCTTGCCCTCAGCCCCTCAGCCTGTCTAGGTCAGCTCCAGGCTTCCACCTTCCTTTTTCTTTTCTTTTCCATCAGCTTCAGGCAAGGGACTTGAAGCCCTTTGGGCTAGAGCTTGGTGGATCATGGTGCCTGGACAGGGGATCCCAGATGGGGAGCTGGCACCCCTCCTACCCAGCACTCCTGGGGCCGCACAGGGAACAGTGATGAGTGCAGGCTCCCTGCTGGATCCTCTGGCACCCCCAGGCACCCCGTTTATGGAGCTCAGAGGCCACAGACGCCCCCCCCCCCAATGCCTCCCAAGTGTCCCTTCTCTGCTCAAAGGGCAGCGGCTGTGACGGGGCTCCCGGGCACAGGGTGCGCCATGGCCTGGCCCAGCTCCTCATGCCTCCGGTCTCCACCCGACAGCCACCCGCCTGCCCCTGCCATGGAGACCTTCTTTAGGAGACACTTCCAGCGGAAGGCGCCAGGCCCTGGAGAGGGGCAGAGGCGGCCCGGCGGCATGGGGCTGCCCACAGGCAAGGCCCGGCGCCGCTCGCCTGCAGGGCAGGCCTCCTCCTCGCTGGTCCAGCGGCGCCGCTCCAGCGCACAGCTCCAGGGCTGCCTCCTGGGCTGTGGGGTGGGGGCCCCGTGCTCCAGCCGCCGGCGCTCCAGCACCGCGCCCCCCGCCTGCAACCCCCGCTTCACCGTGGATGAGGTGCCTGCCCTGCAGCCTGCCACTGTTGGGGCCCTGCGTCTGGGCGCACCCCTGCTCTTGGCCGGGCTCTTGGGCATGGATGAGGAGGAGGGGGTCCAGGAGGAGGATGTGACAGTTGCGTCGTTGGCGGCCACCCAGCCAGGCACCAAGAGACGGGGGCCATCCCCGCATCGGGGAGCCCTGCCCGTGCTGCCCATTCCCCGCTGGCGCCGGCGCCGGGCCTCCTCCCACCTGCTGCCCGCTGACGTGGTGAAAGACCGCGCCCTCTGGGGCCTGCACGGTTACTACCGGCCCCTCAGCCCGCAGCGGCCCTCAGGCCAGCACCTCAGCCTGGGGGGCCGAAGAGCCTCGGGCACCGCAGCTGGCCCCAGGATGCCTGCCTGCGTGCGCCCGCTGTCCCGCAGACGCCAGGTAGCCCTGCGGCGCAAGTCAGCCGGACCCCAGACCTGGAGTGCCCTGCTTGCGTAGGTATAGCTGCAGCCAGCAGGGCGAGTGGCCTCCGGGGGCTGGCTTGAGGGCCCCCGGCTCGGGAAGAGCTCTGAGCCATGCTCGGAAGCCAAGCAGGACTCTCAGGAGGGCCCAGTCTCCTCGGGGATCCTCTCAGAGGGATCCTCTTGGGCTGCCTTAGGGCATCCTCTGCCCTCCCTACCGCCATCCCTGTCTTGACCCGGTGTTGAGGTCACGGTGAGGGCAGAGATCCTAGGTGAGGGGAAGGAAGCAGAGTCGCCGAGTGCTCAGCTAGCCTCAGCTATCTCCTTTTCTGTAGGAAAGCCATCACCAAGTCAGGCCTCCAGCACCTGGCACCCCCTCCTCCAGCTCCCGGGGCCCCGCGCAGTGAGCCTGAGCGGCAGATCCGGAGCACTGTGGACTGGAGCGTGAGTGGCCGGGAGCTGCAAGGGGCAAATGAGGACCAGTCCCCGCCGGGCTCAGGGCCACAGGAGCAGTCGGGTTGAGGGTACTGTGGGCAGCTGCGAGAAGAGCCCGTGGGCCTGTGGGGTCAGGGCAGACCTGGCATGGCCACGTTTGAGCCAAGCCTTAAAGCCAAGGGACAGTGGGGAAAACAGGATGGAGCAAAGTAGATTGTGGCAGCTGGAGCAGGTTTGTATTGGGAGAGGGAGGGTTGGTCGGGCAGGGCAGGGGTGCACTAAGCGTGCTCATCCTGTGGTCTAGGAGTCAGCGACGTATGGGGAGCACATCTGGTTTGAGACCAACGTGTCCGGGGACTTCTGCTATGTTGGAGAGCAGTACTGTGTAGCCAAGATGCTGGTGAGTGAGCTCTGTGCAGCACACTGCCCCCTGGTGGTGGAGCCAGGTCTAGAAGCCTGTAGGCCGATTCCTGTGGGCCTGACAGGCTGCTGCCCTTCCAGGGGAAGGCGGAAACAAGGCTCTCACCTAAGCACCCCTGTGGTGGGCTGCCCGAGGATGGTGAGAGGAATGGGGCTGTGTCCTGATGCCAGGGCTGGGGCTTCCCGGTGCACACAGTGGGCAGCTGTGCTGGGGCAGTTGCGAGGAGTTCTCTGCCTGCCCTGGGGCAGCATCCCGGGTGGAGTTACCTGGTGCCTCAGGGGCCCTCTCTTTCCTGCAGCAGAAATCAGTGTCCCGGAGGAAGTGTGCAGCGTGCAAGATTGTGGTGCACACGCCCTGCATTGAACAGCTAGAGAAGGTGAGTGTGGTTTCTCAGGCTCTCCGGCCCCTACCCTTTGGGTGCTAAAGCCCTCCCAGTGCACACACGTGTGTATCTGTACACGCATTTTCATGTTACACAAACATCACCTGCCGGGGGTACCCCAGTGTGCGTAGTGGTGAAGAGCCAAGGACCCTGGAGCTGAGGTGCCTGCATTTGCATCCTGGCTCCTCCTTTGTTACTGTGACCCCACTGCCCAGAACAAGCCTGGCACAGAGTGGGGCTTGTAGACTATTACTCAACCAGATGAAGTAATGAATGATGACCGAGACACCATTTTATCAGTTCCCAAGCTAACACTTAGAAGGGGCCATGCCTTGCTGAAGCTGTGCAACTCAGCTGTGTCAGGGCCAGTCCTGTGCGGCCCTGAAGCCTGGCTCAGTCCCCTCCACGCTGCCACTGTAAAGACCTTTCCCCAAGGACCACTGTCCACAGTGTGTCTGCAGCTGGGGGCACGTCTGGGCCGTGTGCTTCCAGGGAGGGAGGTGGAAGGAATGCTGGGCGGGTGGGTCCAGGCAGAGGGTGGGAGGGCTGCCATGGCCCATCAGGGCTCCCCAGGCAGCAGAAACCCAGACCAGCATAAGAGAAATCCCGTAGGACTAGCAATGGCATGAACACGGCTAACATGGACTGCTTCCCCGACCCCCCAACTCGTAGTGTGAGGTTTCCCTACAATTCTGCTAAGGCTGAAGCAGGGACAGTTAGGAGAAGAGAAACCAGTGTAGCCCCAGGCACTATAGACCCATCATACCACCCCCTAAGGTGAAAATCAAACCAGGATTTCACAAATGAGCTAACCATCTCCAGGGACCAGTCAGCAAGCGAGGACTGGGTTGCCGGCATGTGCCTGAGTCGGGAGTGCTGGAGGGTGAGGAAAGGTGGAGGAGGGGTAAGCCTTGGTGCTGTTTCAGTGGGGGAGACGGATACAGAGCTTGCTGTCTCCCTCATCCCAGAACACTGGGCAGAGGAAGGAAAGATTCCTTCTGGCTAGTGGAGAGGAGCAGGGATGTAGGAGGGCTTCTGAGAAGAGTGTCTCACGTTCTCAGGGCTCCCAGGATGATTGGGGGCTATCCCTACCTCGCAAGGATGCCTCTGAGTGACGGTTTCCTGAAGGGGGTGGCCCTATGCCTGACCCCACGAAGGGAGGTTCTGATGTTTTGGTGATCATTTCATGTTTCACAGATAAATTTCCGCTGCAAGCCATCCTTCCGTGAATCAGGCTCCAGGAACGTCCGTGAGGTAAGTGCCCAGGGTAGTTAGGGCCCCAGGTTTCCTGAGTGGACCTCTCTGCAGTGTCTTCAGAGTGTCACCAGGGGCTCAGCTCCTTCTAGGCGGCTCTGGGGCCCAGGGAGGTACAGGGCTGAAGCTCTGAGGGTCTCAAAGGGGAAGGCCCGGTTGGCCCTGCCTGCAGATGGGGTAGGGCACTGCCTACCTCTTGTGCCTCCCAGTTCTCTCTGTACTTCCTCTGAGCCCCGACCTCCGGGCCACGGGGAGAAGTCTTCAGCCCCTTCTCACACACAGGACTGCAGAGAGCATCCTGCAGCCCCTGCCCCTCACTGTTGATATATTGAGGGGCACAGGCCACGTTCAAAGCTTCCACCCCTCACTTACTCCGGTGACGCTTCTCTCCTCCGCCAGCCAACCTTTGTGCGGCACCACTGGGTACACAGGCGACGCCAGGATGGCAAGTGTCGGCACTGTGGGAAGGTGAGGCCCTGCCCAGGGAAGTTGGCCAGCCTGCTGCCCACTGGCCCCAGGCCCTACGGCCCCTGAGCCTCGTGTGGCCCGTCCATCACTGACCGTGGTCAGGGCTCACCCTCAGCCTGGCTGCAGTGCCCAGCCAGTTCCAGAGCAGCCAGGTCCCTGGGCAGAGCAGGAGGGCAGGGAGGAAAGCCTTCTAGAGCAGCGTCTCTGGGCTGCTCTGAAGTCGCGAGTGAGCCCTTTGAGAAGCATATAGACTTCTTCCCTCCTTAACTCAGCCGATGCATGTTTAGGGCCTGCTGGGTGGCAAGCACCGAGCTGGGTAGCGGGTCCCTGTCCTCCTAGAGGAGGATGTGGCTCCCAGACAGGCTGCAGGGGGCTTCCTGAGCACAGTCCACAGTGGTTGTGGTTTCGTTGACTTATTTATTGTCTGCTTCTTGTCTGCTCCCTCAGTAAGTTCAGGCTCTGAGAGGTCCCTCTTTCCTCCGTCCACTCAGTATCCAGCAGTGTGGGGCACACAGCAGGCCCGCGAGGAACGTGTGTGGAATGAGCAGGAATGAATGTGATCGGTACCATAAAGAACTTTCAGAGTGCACTGGCGGGCCTGGCGGGCCTGGGTCAGGAAGGAGGGATTGGAATCAGGCAGGAGTTAGCTGTGGACCCCTTTGCAGCAGATTAACTAAAGAGAGTTGTGGGCACCTGGCTCAGCCTCCCTCCCCACCCTAGGGACTCATTTTACAGTTCTTTTATTTTTGAAAAACGTGCTCCATTGCCCTGGGTGGAGAAAGGTTGGCACCGGAAGGGGGCTGCTGCTCCAGGCCGGGTCCAGGCTGCCCTCATCACCCTGTGTGCCCTAGGGCTTCCAGCAGAAGTTCACCTTCCACAGCAAGGAGATCGTGGCCATCAGCTGCTCCTGGTGCAAGCAGGCAGTGAGTGCTGCTCGCCCTACCTGCGGGCCGGCCCCCGGGCTGCGCTGGGTTGGGGGTCCCGGGTCTCAGCTGGGTCCGGCTCAGCCACGCCAACCAACCCCCTCTAGTACCACAGCAAGGTGTCCTGCTTCATGCTGCAGCAGATCGAGGAGCCATGCTCCCTGGGGGTCCACGCCGCCGTGGTCATCCCACCCACCTGGATCCTCCGTGCCCGCAGGCCCCAGGTGAGTCCTGCCCGCACCCTTGACCCCCGCAGACACCTAGGGTCTGCCAGCCACCTGGGCCCACCCACCTTGTCACCAACATCCTTGCTTCCCTTGCAGAATACCCTCAAGGCAAGCAAGAAGAAAAAGAGGGCATCCTTCAAGAGGAAATCTAGCAAGAAAGGGCCTGAGGTTAGACCTGGGACCAGGTGGGCAGCTGGAGGGGGGGGAACAGGAGAGAGGGGCCTGTTTGGGGGGATGCTGAGCCCCCTGGGCTGATGCTGCCAGCTCGGCCACCAGTGGGTCAGTTTGGGCTCTGCGGCCCTGAGGAAGGTGAGAGGTCAGATCCGAGGTGCCTCTCTATGGCCAGGCCCACTGTGAGGTGTGACCCGGTGTGATCACAAGGGAACGGGGGCGGGGTCTGCCAAGACAGGAAAGAGCCTTATGGGCTCTCTGTGTCTCCAAGGAGGGCCGCTGGAGACCCTTCATCATCAGGCCCACCCCGTCCCCCCTCATGAAGCCCCTGCTGGTGTTCGTGAACCCCAAGAGTGGGGGCAACCAGGTACCCACAGCCTGCCCTCTCCACCGAGCACCTTGGGGGAGGGATGGGGTCAAGCTCACGGCCCTCCCCGCAGCAGCTGTTCCCAGGTTCTGTTGCAGCTTCTGCCCCATTCCTCTTTCCCAGGGACGCTGAGAAAATCCAATTCTGTCTCCACCCTTCGCCCCTGCCTAGGCCTTGTTCCCACAGTTCCCACCCTTCTCCCCACGCATCTCCTCACCTCAGCCCGCCACCCCTGACTGCCTCCCCCCCGCCCCCCGCCGCCCCGTCCCTGTCGGCTCCTGGTCTCCCACAGGGCGCCAAGATCATCCAGTCCTTCCTCTGGTATCTCAATCCCCGGCAAGTCTTTGACCTGAGCCAGGGAGGGCCCAAGGAGGCGTAAGTACTTGCCAGGGCTCTCGTGGGGATGGTGGCGGGGGCTCGCCTGGCGCTCGGGATACAGCACACGGACCCTGACCCCGCTCCTGTCTTCTGACCCCAGGCTGGAGATGTACCGCCGGGTGCACAACCTGCGGATCCTGGCCTGTGGGGGCGATGGCACGGTGAGCGCTCCTGCCCCTCCCGGCCCGGCCCGGCCCGGCCCAGCCCTGGCCTCGCACTCTGACCTGGCCTCTCGTGCTCTGCCCGCTGCAGGTCGGCTGGATCCTTTCCACCCTGGACCAGCTGCGCTTAAAACCACCGCCACCCGTTGCCATCCTGCCCCTGGGCACCGGCAACGACTTGGCCCGCACCCTCAACTGGGGTGGGGTGAGTGCCCACAGGGCAGGGAGCTGGGGAGGGCAGGGCAGCAGGGAAGGCCCAGACCCCGGAGGGGCTCAGTTCCTGCCTCCCCCCAGGGCTACACCGATGAGCCCGTGTCCAAGATCCTCTCCCACGTAGAGGAGGGCAACGTGGTGCAGCTGGACCGCTGGGACCTACGTGCTGAGCCCAACCCCGAGGCGGGGCCTGAGGAGCGAGATGAGGGGGCCACCGACCGGGTGGGTCGGCCGGGGCAGGGCTGGGGGTGCCTGGGATCCTGGGACCCGGGGTGACTCTTGGTGTCTCCAGACCTCGGCCTCTTCACAGGAGGAGGGAGTAACGGTACTCGCCTCACGAGGTAGCTGTCACTCAGCCACTCAGCACATGTTTACTGAGAACCTGCTACTGCCGGGCACCATCTGTTCTCAGCAGCGAGCAAAACCGAGTCCGGGCTCTCGTGGGGCTCCGCAGAGCACGGCCCGTCGGGGGAGGGCTATGGGAAGAGGGGCCCGCAGGGCACGGGGCGCCCTTGTGCGCGGGGCACTTAGCCCGGGAGCTCAGACGGCAGGGCCGAGGCTGGTGGGCTGGGGGCAGAGCTGTCTGGTGGGCGTGACTGTGTGGGAAAGGGCTGAAAACGCGGGGGCTCAGCCGGCCAGCCCTCATGCCCGTCCCTGGCCTTTCTCCAGCTGCCGCTGGATGTCTTCAACAACTACTTCAGCCTGGGCTTTGATGCCCACGTCACCCTGGAGTTTCACGAGTCTCGAGGTTGGCAGACTTTTGCTGAGGAGGCCTGGGGAGGCTGGGGAGGGAGGGATACAGGAGGGGGTCCCCGAGAGGACCAGATCTTGCCCTTCCCAGTAAAAGGCATTCATTCTCAACCCTCCCTCTTGACCCCAGCCTGGGAAGCCCCAGCAGGCTCAGAACAACTGACTGTCCCCTATTTCTTGTCACCACCCAGAGGCCAACCCAGAGAAATTCAACAGCCGCTTTCGGAATAAGATGTTCTACGCCGGGGTGAGTCTGGGGTCTGCCAGCTACGCCCCACCATTCCCATGCCCACCTGTTCTACCACCTGTGCCCCCTGCCCACCTGTGTCTCCCAGGCCGCAGGACCCCTGCGTGGCAGCGGTGAAGGCAATTACCTGTCACCAGATGGTGACGCCCTCTGTCTCCCACAGACAGCCTTCTCCGACTTCCTGATGGGCAGCTCCAAGGACTTGGCCAAGCACATCCGCGTGGTGGTGAGTGGGCCATGCTGGCAGGCAGGGTGGGCGGGCCCAGCGGAAGGGAGACCACCTGGGTACATATACCCTCTACACCCTCCGCCGTTCCCGCCTCCAGTGTGACGGGACTGACCTGACCCCCAAGATTCAGGACCTGAAACCCCAGTGCATTGTTTTCCTGAACATCCCCAGGTGAGGAGGGAAGGGCTCTGTGTGGGCCCTGCTGCCTCTGTCCTGCACGCCTGTCCTCTGAAGCCCATTGTGGTGCCCCCCCCCCAGGTACTGTGCGGGCACCATGCCCTGGGGCCACCCTGGGGAGCACCATGACTTTGAGCCCCAGCGGCATGATGATGGCTACCTCGAGGTCATTGGCTTTACCATGACATCCCTGGTGAGTGAGCCAGCACGGGGACCATCTAGAGCCCCGGCCCTGCTTTGCCCCGGCCCTGTCCCCACAGTGCCCCGGAGCCTGGCCCCGAGATGGAAGGGGGGGGCAGTCACCAAACTTCCTTCATTGGCCAGGACAGGAGAGCTGACCCTCACCTCCTTCTCTGGCTGGGGTCTCACCCTCCGTCTGCTCTCCATGGGGCGGGGGGTCACTCTCACTTTGGCCAGAGCATCCCTGGGAAAAGCAGAGCTTGAGGTCCTGCCACCCCCTGGCCCCTGGCCTGAGCCTCTCGCGCCCACAGGCAGCACTGCAGGTGGGCGGGCACGGCGAGCGGCTGACACAGTGCCGAGAGGTGCTGCTCACCACGTCTAAGGCCATCCCAGTGCAGGTGGATGGTGAGCCCTGCAAGCTCGCAGCCTCATGCATCCGCATCTCCCTGCGCAACCAGGCCACCATGGTGCAGAAGGCCAAGCGGCGGAGCGCCGCCCCCCTGCACAGCGAGTATGCCCCTCCCCAGCCTCGGTTTTCCCATCTGGAAAGGAGGCTCGCAGTCCCCCGAGGCAGCTGGGTGGGGCATGTGGCTCGGTGCCTGGCGGGGACGGGAAGCCCAGGAGAGCCCTCGCTGAGTGCTGTGTGGTCGCCCCGCCCGCAGCCAGCAGCCAGTGCCGGAGCAGCTGCGGATCCAGGTGAGCAGGGTCAGCATGCACGACTACGAGGCCTTGCACTATGACAAGGAGCAGCTCAAAGAGGCCTGTGAGTGGCGAACGGGGCTGGGGGCGCCGAGGAGCGCCGGGGCCCCTGAGGGCAGGGCGGTGGGGGGGCAGCGCAGCCGGCTGCTGACAGCTGCTCTGTCCTCCAGCCGTGCCGTTGGGCACCGTGGTGGTCCCGGGAGACAGCGACCTGGAGCTGTGCCGCGCCCACATCGAGAGGCTCAGGCAGGTGAGGAGCAGGTCTGCGGCCTGCCCGGGCTGCCCCCTCCTGCCCCGGGTTCTGGTCACCCCCAGCCCCGGCCTCTGCTTCTCTCGACAGGAGCCCGAAGGTGCTGGAGCCAAGTCTCCGACGTGCCAGAAACTCTCCCCCAAGTGGTGCTTCCTGGATGGTGAGTGGCCCCGAAGGGCCAGCTCAGGGTGGTCCCGGGCCGTGTCCTGCCCCCTCCCTTGGGGGTCCTAGGTGGGGCGGCAGAAGACCTAGGCCTGGACAAGGGCCCCCTTCCTCAGCCACGTCTCTCCCCACAGCCACCACTGCTAGCCGCTTCTACAGAATCGACAGGGCGCAGGTGAGCACTCGCCGTCCTGCTCCGTCCGCCGCCGGCTCCGGGGCCCCAGTGTCCCCTGTCCTGCTAGGCCACCCTCCACAGCCGGGCACAGCCGTCCTTGCGTCCCATAGTGTCCGCGGTTGGGCCGTGCACAGGGATGGTGCTGACGGGAGAAGGGAGCCCGTGTGCCCGGACAGGGCTCGCTGGGTTGGGGTGGGGTGGGGGCGGCCCTCACGGCACAGCTGTCATCCATCCAGACACGGAAGGAAAGGCACTTCTGGCCAGAGGCCTGGTCACCTGGGTAAACGCTTAGCAGTAGAAAGAAGCTGGCCAGCTGGGGGGCCCGCTGTGTGGAGGTCAGGGTATGGGCTTGGGTGGCAGGAGAGGAGAGGAGAATGGGGGAGGGGACAGGGGACTGGCAGGGCCACTGGCCCGCCTGCCTCCTGTCAGCGTTCCTGCTCACAGCAGAGGCTTCTCCAGGTCTCCTGGCCTGGAAGCCCCTTCACCACCACCCCGGCCACCCTGCAGGGCCCTGACTCTCGGCCCTGACCTCCCCACCCGCAGGAACACCTCAACTACGTGACCGAGATCGCACAGGATGAGATTTATATCCTGGACCCTGAGCTGCTGGGGGCGTCTGCCCGACCCGACCTCCCAACCCCCTCTTCCCCTCTCCCTACCTCGCCCTGCTCACCCAGGCCCCGGTGAGTCCCAGGCCTCAGCCAGTGCCCTGGCTGTAAATCCCACCTGTAAGGCAGCGGCTCCTCAAGCCCTGTCTTCCGCCCCAGCCACTTCCCTGAGTGTCAGACGCACGTCCAGCTGCCTGCGGTCCCCACTGGCCCCTCCCCACTGACCCACAGGCAGCAAACTGAACCCAGCCTGCCAGCCCTCCACCCCACCATCCGCCCGCCGCGTCTGAGCACACCACGGAGCCCCTGGCCTCCTGCTCTCTCCCCCCAGCCTGGAACCTTCTTCCCCAGCACCCACCCTGCAGTCAATGTGCCCTCCCCCGTACCTGGTCACTTCATCCCACGCAGCCTGAGCCTGGTGGTCTCTGACCCCACCAGCGCCCTCCCTGCTCCATCACCACAGTCCAGCCGCACTCGCCTCTGGGTTCTTCAAGGCACAAGTTTGCCCACCTCTGGACTTCTCCTTGCCTCCCCGATCTTCACAGAGCTGCCCCTCCATTCATCTCTCAGCTTGGGTGTTTCCTCCTCAGGGTCTCCCAGGAGCCCCACCTGAAGTTGCTGTTCAATCACACTACCCTGTCTCCTATTCTTTGTAGCACTTCTTGCTGTTTCAAAATACCTTATTTATTTGTTTACTTGTCTCTCTGACTAGAATGTAAGCTCCCTGAGAGCAAGTTCTCCACCCGCCATGTTCACTGCTGTGTTGCCAGTGCCCAGAACATCGCTTGACACATAGGAGGCACTCAATAAACTGTTGAAAGGACAGAGGGCGCCCGGGTTGGGGCTGGGGAGGGCGGCAAGCTGGGCCCGTGCTGTAGCCATGTCACCTGTAGCCCTGCCACATCTCATCCTGCTCTGTTTGCAGGTCACTGCCAGGGGATGCTGCACCCCCTACAGGTGAGGCCTCTCCCTGCAGGGCCCCTGTTTCCTCCCTGGTCCTAGGACCGAGGCTCGGTGGGGTGGTGGGGTCGGGTGGGCTGGAGCCCATACGCAGCCTCACAAGAACACAGCTACGTCACAGTCACCGTGAGCCCACAGCCCTTGGCATACATGCCCCAACAGGCCCCCTTCTCTGCACAATAGTACCTCAGACGTATGTTCACACACCGACACATGCCTAGGCGTCCAGCGCCAGAGAGTAACAGGCAGGTGTTCTGTGCAGGTGAAGAGCTGATCGAGGCTGCCAAGAGGAACGATTTCTGTAAGGTACTAGTGCCAGGCTTGGGCTTCTTCCCCTTGGCAGCCCCCTCAGGCCCTGGGGAGTGGGGCCTCTGGGCTAGGCCAAGAGCTGATCTGTTGAGGTGCGGTCATCTGTCGTCGCCTGGGCCTCTGTGGGGCCTCCGTGTGGTTGTTCCTGTCAGCCATGCCCCCCATCCCTGTCCAGCCCACAGTCGGTGTCCCTGCATAGGGGCTTCCTAGCGCATTCTGCCTGTCCCTGGTGCTCAGACAGGATCGAGCCTTAGAGGAACCGCAGCCTCCAAGGCTCGGTCGTCAGTGCTCCCGGGGTGTCCAGGGGCGCCTGGGGTGAGAGAAGCCCATCGTGTCTCCCCTGCGCTCCAGAAAGACCCCCAGAGGCCCCTAGGGAGCCTGGGGCCTGTGTGAGTTGGGGGGCGTTTCTGTGGCTGGAAGCAGGGTGGCCCTGAGGAGCCCCAGCCCTGCTCTGCCTCCTGCCCCCAGCTCCAGGAGCTGCACCGAGCCGGGGGCGACCTCATGCACCGGGACGAGCGGGGCCGCACGCTCCTGCACCACGCCGTCAGCACCGGCAGCAAGGAGGTGGTCCGCTACCTGCTGGACCACGGTGAGCTGTGCCACTGGGGCCCCTGGGAGGAGGGAGAGGCTGCTAGGCCTCTCTGACTTCCCCCTCCCCCTTCTCCAGCCCCCACAGAGATCCTTGATGCTGTGGAGGAAAAGTGAGTATGCGGGCAGTGCAGGACCCCAGTTACCCTGGAAACTGTCCCGTCTTTATCGAGCCCCTCCCATTTGGTCCTGTCAGAGCCCATAAACCCTTCCTGGTCACATCTGTCATCCTCTGGGCCACCCCCCCCTTGCCCCAGGACCCTGAACTTCCTGCCCTTTCTAATGGCCTTTGGGAGACAGGAGGGCTCAGAGGACTGGATGGGGTCCACAGCCAGCCCCTGTTCCCCCAGCGGGGAGACCTGTCTGCACCAGGCCGCAGCCCTGGGCCAGCGTACCATCTGCCACTACATCGTGGAGGCCGGGGCCTCTCTCATGAAGACAGACCAGCAGGTGAGCAGACTAGCAGGGCAGGCAGGGGATCCACGCAAGCAAACCTCTCCCAAACTCCAGCCCGGGGAGAGGGGGGTCTGGGGGAGGGCCGCCTCCGGGGATCCAAAGCTGTCCTTCAGCCAGCACGGTCCAGACCCCGAGAACCTGAGACAGCAGGAGTTGGCTGCTCACGAGGGAAGAGCCCCCGTCTTCTAAGCCTGCTGGGGCCGACAGGTCCCTGAGGTGATGGCAGCCCCCCCTCATCCAGGGCGACACTCCCCGGCAGCGGGCTGAGAGGGCTCAGGACACGGAACTGGCCGCGTACCTGGAGAACCGGCAGCACTACCAGATGATCCAGCGGGAGGACCAGGAGACGGCTGTGTGAGGCCGCTGCGCAGCAGGGCGACGGGCCACCAGAGGACCAGCCCCTCCTCGCCCACCTCACTGCCACATTCCAGGCGGAGGGCCACAGAGGGACCCGGGACCCAGGACCCAGGGAAGGAGCCCTGTGCTGCTCCCTGTGGAGCTGCCCAGACCTAGGGCTGGACTCTGAGGAGCTGGGGGCCAGGGGCTGGGGTGGGGTCTCACCCGGCCCCCTGAGGCCACAGCCTGACCCAGAGGCTCACAGGGGACCAGGAGACTGGACTGGGCTGGGCAGACCATTGGGGGGGCTGGGGGGGCCCTCACCTTCCCTGCAGTGGGTGCCGTGGAGTTGAGGGCCCACAGCCCGGAGGCCCTGTGAGGGAGCCCCCAGGAAGACGCTTCCTAAGCCTCCGGGTCCTTGAGGACCCTCACTCTGAGGCTCCTGGGAGCTTGGGCCCCTCTCCCGCCCTGACACCCCCCCCCACCCCCGCCCCCAGGGCTTCTTCCCGAATACACGGAGCCTGCTGCATCTGCCTGCCCGCTGCCCTGCTTAGCACCTACCCGGTGACCCTCCTCCCAAACCCAGTCATTTCACCTCCGACTGTGTGGCCTGGGGGGTGGGGGTGGGGGCTTTCACGGTGACATGTTTACAGCTGGGTGTGACTCAGTAAAGTGGATTTTTTTTCCTTTCCGCTTTTCTTTTTTTGTGGGGGAGGTCTTCCAGAAGCGGTGGAATCTGCTGGGTTATCCTCCGGGTGGGGGACTGGACGCCGTCGACCCAGACCCAGACTCATTTCGAGGGATCCTGGCTCCCGTTTCGGGGTGGGGTCCGAGGGGCTGCCCAGGACCTGACCTCTGCCTGGCTGCCGCGCTGGTCGTGGCCGGGGGAGGAGCTGATTTCCTCCTGCTTCCCGCTTCCCGCGGGGAAGATAACAATGGAAGTGAAAGAGGTGGAGCGGGGGCGAGGCCTGGTTTCTTGGGCCGGGTCGCCCTATGGCCTGGGGCAAACCCCCTCCTCCTGGCCTCAACTGCTTTCGCTGTTTAGGGTATCGGATGAGGTGATCCCCGAGCCTCCAGGCTCAGAAGGGGTGGGCGTTTGCAGCCGCTGCCGGGCCGCGTCTGGAACTTCTCAGACGGCTGCTGTCGGCTCTAAATCTTAACCAAATCCAGGCCTGCGGGCTCCTCCTTCCCCAGCTCCCCCGCCCCCCGCCAACCTGCGCGTGGAGAAAGGCGCAGTGGCCTCCGCGCCCTTCCGACCCGTGCGCTTTTCTGGGGTCCCCCGTCCGAGCCCCATCCCGACACTGAGCAGAGCATCTCACTGCAGACCTGGTGAAGCGACCCGAGGCGGGGGCTGGCGCTCCTTCCCCAGCATCTAAGGGGCGCTGAGAGTCGAGCGGGCCCTGGGAGGCGGAGCGGGGCCTCGACGGGGTTAATCACTGCACCCGGGGCTCGACGGACAGAGCCGCACACAGGCTCGAAGGCGGGCCCCGCGCCGGGACCTGTGACACACCCGGGACTCCGCGCTCCCTCCTGGTCTCCACCTAAAGCTCCGTGGCCATGAAGGGAAGCTGGCGTCCAGAGGGGAAAGGGGACGGCCCCGAGGAGGGGGCAGAGGGCGGGGACGGCAAACAGGGGCCCGGGCCGAGGGAGCGCGAGATTGGGGACTGGGGACAGGGCGTGCCGGGACAGGACGGAGACCCGGGGCTGGGGATGGGGACGCCAGGAGAGCCCGGCGTCTGAAAGCGGAGGGCACCGGCCGGGCGAGACGAGGCAAGGCGAGGGTGTGGGGCCGAGCGGCGGGAAGAGGGGGTAGAGGCGCGGGGGGCTCGGGGAGGGAGCGGAGGCGGGGACGCCGGGGTCGGGGGGCGGCGCGGGTTTGAGGGGAGGGGGCGGGGCAGGTCCTTCGTCGGTGGGGGGGGAGGGGGCGGGGGCCCATGTGACCGGCTCAGACCGGTTCTGGAGACAAAAGGGGCCGCGGCGGCCGGAGCGGGACGGGCCCGGCGCGGGAGGGAGCGAAGCAGCGCGGGCAGCGAGCGAGTGAGCGTGCGGGGCCCCGGAGGGCGCGCGGCGGCTTCGGCCCCTCGGCCGCTGCCGATGTGGGGGCTGGAGGCGGGGTGGGGGTCTGAGCTGAGTCCCGGGCTCCAGGCGGCCCCTGGGGAGACTCCTCCCGCTGTGCGCCCCGGCTGGCGGGGAGGGGCCAGCCCCCCAAGTCCGCCGCCACCGCAGTAGCAGCCCGACCCTTTGGGCCTGGAAACTGGGGAAAGGGGGTGGGAGGTTCACGCCTGCGGCCCCCAGTGAGGACTCTGACCCGTGCTCTACCCCCAGGATGCAGCGCCGAGGCTTCCTCCTCCTCGCCCTCCTCGCCCTGCTGGCGCTCACCTCCGCGGTGGCCAAAAAGAAAGGTGATATGGAGGGTGGGGGGTTTAAGGAGGGCTGGAGCCGGGCAGGTGAGGCCGGCAGCCTCGGTTCCGAGGCCGGGACTCCAGGAAGGGGTCTCCGAGTGAGTCTCTCCTGGCCCGGGTCCTGAGCTCTGTTCCCCATGCGTTGTAGACAAAGTGAAGAAGGGAGGCCCGGGGAGCGAGTGCGCGGAGTGGATCTGGGGGCCCTGCACCCCCAGCAGCAAGGACTGCGGCGTGGGTTTCCGCGAGGGCACCTGCGGGGCCCAGACGCAACGCATCCGGTGCCGGGTCCCCTGTAACTGGAAGAAGGAGTTTGGAGGTGAGGTGGGGCGCAGGCGGAGGGTAGGCAGGGGGCCCAGCCTCACGGGGACCTGAGCAGACCCGTGGAGGGGGCCACAGGCCACCCAGCTCTGACCCGGGCACTCTCCCGCCAGCCGACTGCAAATACAAGTTTGAGAGCTGGGGGGCATGTGATGGGGTCACAGGCACCAAAGCCCGCCAAGGCACCCTGAAGAAGGCGCGGTACAATGCCCAGTGCCAGGAGACCATCCGTGTGACCAAGCCCTGCACCCCCAAGACCAAAGCCAAGGCCAAAGGTTAGCAGAGGGGCCAGGGGTGGGGTCATCACAGGTGGCTGCCCCTACCTGGGAAGGGAGTGGGTAAAGCCTGAAGTTTTGGATCCCGGCCAGTGAATTTTTGACGTGTCTGTACCGGGTTTCCCTGTAGGTAGAGACACCTTAGGTGGGCGGTACTGAGGGCCCCCGCAGAGGGTGCTCGGGAGGTTGAAATCCTGGCTCAAGTAAGGACAAAGTCAGCTGTTCTGTTGGAGCCTTTGGCTTGGGATTCAGGGAAATCGTACAGGGACAGCTTGGCTTTGTCATCTCTCCAGCAGGTGGGGGCAGTTTCTATATGGGAAGGACTTCACAGTCCTTACTTCCTCTTTCCCTTAGCTTCATTCCTGACTCACAGCAGCCCTGGAGGCCAACAGGGCAGAGTGGAATCTGCCCACTTCTCAGGTGAGGGGACTGAGGCTGTTGTCCAGGGCTGCTGGGACCAGGACTGAGACCGGGAACTTGAAGGTTTTCTGATCCCCAAAGTCTAAGCTGGGGGGAGTGAGGAATGTCCAGCATCATAATGGCTGTCCTGTCCCACGGGCTTCCAGGCTAGCTGATAGAGAACCACCAGGGGGCAGAATTTTCTCTTCTCTAATGTCTGTGTCGGGGGGAAGGGGGTCTCCAGTGGGTCACCCAAACCCTGCTAATGCGGTCTTTCTTTCTTGTTTTACAGCCAAGAAAGGGAAGGAAAAGGACTAGCGGCCAGGCCTGGATGCCAAGGAGCCCCTGGCTTTACTCGGAGGCCTGGCCCACGCCCTCCCTCTCCCGGCCCAGGATATAACCCACCAGTGCCTTTTGCCTACTCATTAGCTTTATCAATCATGCCCTGCTTCTTCCCTTCCACTTGCCCACACCCACCCCAAGTGCCCAAAGTGGGGAGGGACAAGGGATTCTAGGCAGCTTGAGCCTTACCCAAAGGGATTTGATTCCCCTGTACCCACTTTTCTTCTTCCCCCAATGATGCCATTACTAAGAAAGAAATAAATGTCTTTTTTTTTTTTTCCCCAATAAAAGCTTTCTTTTAATATATAAAAGCCCCTTCCCAGGAAGTTTGCTGTGGTGATTTGTTGGAGGTGGGAGAATGGAGGAAAGAGAGGGCTGGAGGGAACGGTGGCTTTCAGGGGGTTGAAGACTTGGCGGTGAGTGCCCCCCAGAGCTCATGGAGAAAAAACGGTTATGAAAATTTCTTCCAGGGCCCCCTACTGACCCCTGGAAGGGTGCCCCCCATCAAGTCCCCTGAGCCTCTCAGTCCTGTTTCTCCAGGGGCCAGGGCTGGGGGAGGGAACCCAGGAGACTCACTAGAACGGATTCCCCCCATCTCAGTTTCCCCCAGGTAAAGGTCTTTTGGTCCAGCCCACTGCCAATCCAGAAGGTTCTATCAGTTGGGAGAGGAGAGATGGGGGTCGCTTGCCTGCCTCACCAGCCCTGCCCCAACTGTCACTGAAGCCTGTGTGTGGGTCAAGTCCACCCCCGTTTTCTCCCTGGTGACCCACCAGGGTGTCCCTCGTGCTGCAGAGGCCAGCCGTGAATACCACTCACCGCAGTCCCACCTTCACTGTGTGTGACCCGAGCCAAGCCCTCTCCTTGGGGAGGGAGGGCAACTCTTCAGAATGACAGGGGCCACTCAGCTCAGCCTGGGGAGGTAGGTGGCCAGGCCCCAGTTTCTGAGTGAACCCCTGATCTCCCTGCTAGCCCATCCTGAACGTGGCCAGGGTAGTGCCGTAGGGGGTGCTCCGAGCCCCCTCTGCCTGGCCTCCAGCCAGCTCACCCACTGACCCGCCCACCCAACCAGAGCCCTGCTGAGTAGCTGCAGCAAGGGGAGACTTCTGCCCCTGGACAGAGATACAGGAAGAGGAGGCTGAGCCTACATGCGGGGTACAGGGGGGCAGAAAGCACCGATTACAGCAGGATGGGGGACCCTTCCCTCCCTGAGCCTCCTTTCCCAAGCATTGGCCCCTTTGCTCCTCCCAGAGGGGTGCTGGGCTCTGCTCCCCTCCAGATGTCCGTTCTTTCAGCCACGCTGGCTGGTCACAGTGGGGCAGGTGCCCACATAGGCCAGTGCTCCCCAGCTCCCTGAGGCAGGACAAGAGCGATGGGTCAGACTGTCCAGTTTGGTCACTTCCTGGGGCTGGTCCTCTTCGGCCTGAGCAGAGACCTGGTCTCTGAATCCAGCCGGAGCCTCTTCCTGAGGCTCACGGGGTCTCGGGAACGTCAGTTCTCTTCGGCAAACGTGAACACTGAGAAGCGCCTCCGCATCTCTCCCTGGCAGCAGCTGACACGTGGTCCCCAGCGCACACCAGCACCTCCAGTGGCACCCCTACCTGCCTACCTGGCAGTGCCGATGTTCCGATACTGGCATAGCAGCAGGTGTCTGAAAGTCTTTTTAAAGGTGGCATTGCAGAGGGCATAGCAGGCCGGGTTGATGGTGCTGTTGACGTAGCAGAGCCAGTAGCCAATGGACCACACCGTGTCAGGGATGCAGCTCTGGCAGAAGGTGTTCACCAGGACCATGACATTGTAGGGCGTCCAGGTGAGGATGAAGGCTAGCAGAATGGCAAAGATGGTCCGAGTCACCTTGCGCTCCCGGGCTGCCATCTGCCGCTTCTTGCGCACCTGGTTGCGGGCGATGCTGGCAAACTTGCGGGCCACATTGGCCGCCGGACGCATGCCAGCCGGCGTGGCAGGCACAATCTCGATGGCTGTCACACACTCGTTGCCTGTCTGCTTCGTCACAATCTGGATCTTGGACCATTTGGAGGCCGGATTGAGGGTCCGTGGCTGCAGGGGATGTGCAGGTGTGGCGGGCGTGGTGGCCTCTGTGGTTGACAGCTCTGTGGGTGGTCGTTCCTTGGTGTTCTGGGTGGCGCTGCCCGAGCTGGACTCATTGGAGGTGTCCTTGTCAGCCACTGGGCGTGGCGGCGGGGGGAGGACTGGTGGAGGGGCCTCCTCTAGCTTCCCGTTGCGCAGCTCCCCCCGAGAAGCTTCTCCTGGGGGCGGTTTCTTGACACTCTGCTTCATCAGGGGGCTCTTGAGGAAGGCGAGGGTCTTGGCCTTCTTCTCCTTAGGGCCTTCGGGTCGGTGCTTGTGAACTCGGCTGCGACTGGCCAGGGAGATGTGGATGTAGAGCACCGTCATGATGACCACAGGCAGGTAGAAGGCAGCGATGGCCGTGCCGAAGGTCACCGCCGGGTTGGACAAAAACTGGATGAAGCACTGGTTGTCTGGCACCGTCCGCTTGCCCACCACAAACTGCCAGAACAAGATGGCAGGTGCCCAGAGCACGAAGGACAGGACCCAGGCAGCGGCGATCATGAGGCCTGCCATCTTGGTGGTTCGCCGCGCGGGGTAGGTGAGGGGCTTGGTGACGCAGAAGTACCGGTCAAAGCTGATGATGAGCAGGTTCATGACAGAGGCATTGCTCACCACATAGTCCAGGGCCAGCCACAGGTCACACACCACGGCACCCAGAGGCCAGTAGCCCTTGATGATGTACACGGTGTAGAGGTTCATGGAGAAAGCGCCTATGATGAGATCAGCACATGCCAGGCTGAAGAGGAAGTAGTTGTTGACCGTCTGCAGTTGCCTGTTGACCTTGATGGAGAGCATCACCAGGATGTTGCCCACGACAGTCACGAGGCTCAGTGAGCCTGTCACCGTGGCAATGAACACCATCTCCACTGTCTCATAGCGGTTATGGGTTGACGTGACCAGGCGCACAGACTGGTTGCCCAAGCTGCCATTGACCGGTGTGAAGTTCGCCATTTTGGTTAGCAGCAGTGGGCGGGCAGTGTCTGGAGGAGGAAGGAGAGAGGAGAGGGGTGAATGGTTGAAGTGGACTAGAGGGGTGAGGTGGGGTACACTGGAGTCAAGGCGACAGAGGAGCATCACCATCCTGCAGAACTCCATCCTTAGAGAACTCTGTCCCATCACTTCCTCCTGTATTCGGTCATTTATTCGTCCTTTATTGAGTGCCTACTCTTGTACAAGCACTGTTGTACGCGCTGGGGTTATGCTGGGGTTACAGAGTGAAGGAGACACACGCAGGCCCCACTCTCACGGAGCTTACAACCCTAGCAGGGGAGACATACAAGCATGTGAGCCACAAAAAAGTGCTGGAAAGAAAACAAGGGCAGGTGATGGTGAGTGAGTCAGAGGGGTGACCAGCGAAGGCCTCTCCGAGGAGGTGAGCTGGATGAGGAGGAGGCAGCCACAAGAAGAGCTGCAGAGAGTGGCCTAGTCAAGGGCGATGGCGAGAGCAAAGGCCCTGAGGCATGTGTGAGGCATGGACAGAAGGCCAGTGTGGGTGGAGGGGTGGGGCGAAGAGAGGTCCCAGATATCAGTATGTGGCTCTGGTCAGAGGTATTCATTCATTTACCCATTTGGTCATTTCTTAACCAAACATTACCGGGGACCTGCCCTCCAATCCCTACAGAAGGCACTAGGGACAAAGGCAAGAATATATACTACCAGCTAACATTTATTGTCTACTCAGTGCCGGGCATTTTCTACACTTTTTATAAGTATTCATTCATTTCATCCTCATAACAAACCTATGAAGTAGATACCGTGTTTTTTTTTTTTTTTTTTTTTTGGTGGGGGGCGGGGGTGGCATGTGGCTCGGCACGCAGGATCTTAGTTCCCCAACCAGAGAATGAACCCAAGCCCCCTGCAGTGGAAGCACAGAGTCTTAACCACTGGACCGCCAGGAAGTCCCAGATACTGTTATTTTTTACTAACAGATGAGGAAAATAAGGCACGGAGATGTTAAATAAACTGCCCGAGGTTCCACAGCTCCTTGATCTATGTTGCTGTCCCAGAGCTAAGGGTTCTGGTAGAGGGAGGCCCAAAGAGCCACAAAAGCCAGTGATCCCACCTTGGGGAAGTCTTCCCAGAGGACCAGAAGAGGTGACATGGAACTAGGAATCCAAGAAGGAGGAGGAGGAAGTGCCACGGTGGCATCCCCTCCCGGAGCCCTCCTCCGTCCCCAGGGCGTGGGGATGCAGTGCAAGGGTAGCTGGGGTCTGTCAGCAGCCAGGGGCTAAGACCTGTGAAGAATCAGAAGCCTAAAGGGCCCATCAGCTGAGGAAAGACACACACGGCTTCCCAGGGGCCAGTGCCCTCCCCAAGGCCTGACAGGGAACCCAAAGGGTGAGCGAGTGTACCAGAGGGAAGAGAGGGGCTGCAGCAGGGGAGCCTGTGGCCAGCCCCTGAGGGTACCCCTCGGCCCACCGGTACACACCACGGCGCCCCAGCTGGGGTCCTCCAAGCACGAGGCTCCTCCCCAGAGCCTCGTCACGTCTCCTCCCCCTCTTCCTCTCCCCTGCGTGTGAGGGAGGCCCACGCCCAGGGCACTGTGCCAGGGCAGCCGCTCAGCCCAGCCTCCTTCACACCCGCCAACACACGCACCATTACACACGCACACGGGCCCATCACAGCCATGCCAGCCCCACAGCTCCCTGTCGTATATGCAGTTCTGTGCGTCTGTGTGAGAGAAGCAGAGGAGAGACAGTGGGGTGTGGAGGAAGGAGCATGCGCCCCACAGCCCAGGCTCCACGGCCAGCGGGCTCTTAGCCGTGTGGCCTTGCACAAGCCACCTCACCTTCCTGCTCCTCTCTTTCTCATCTGCAAAACAGAGAGGATGCCTGTCCCGGGGCGGCCTCCCTCCCCGGCAGCAGTGGGGGTCAGCAACTCAACTCCATCTCCAGCATTAACGTGCACTGGACGCTGGAGCCAGGTGCCAGGGTGACGCCCCCTCTCCAAGCCTGGCTTCAGTCCCCTTAAGCCACCATCACAGATGCAGATGCAGACCCAGCCTCCTGGCCTGGTAGTTTCAGTTCTCATGCCCAAATCCTTGGTTCACAGGAGAGGCTCACAGAGGGGTGGTACCACCCCCAAGGTCACAGAGGAATCAAGGGCAAAGACCAGATACTGCCCTCTCCTGGGGGGCGGGGGGGTCTCTGACAGCCCTTTTCAGTGCTGAGAGACTCCAGAATGGAACCTCAGGCACCACCCTCTGAGGAGGGGCAGGAGGGCAGAGGCACCCAGCGTGGAGAGGCTGTCCTTCCTAGGCACCTGCCCGTAGGCACAGGGTGGGCAGGAGTGACCTGTCAGCCAGCCCCAAGGAAACCCTCGTTCTAGCCTCCCAGGTTCAGGACACAGGCCAGTGAGATCAGAATGGGGCTCGAGGTACCAAATAGGAAAAACATAATCGCTCTTGTTTATTGAGTGTTAATTATGAGTCAGGAATCCCTCTAAGCTTTTTATACAGATTATCGGGTTTAATTCCTACAGCAGCCTGAAAAGGCAGGTGCTATAAGTATGCTCATCTTACTGAAGTAAGTATCTTCTTACAGATGAGGATAATGTTAATTAACTTGCCTAAAGTCACCCAGTGTGTAAGCAGGGGCAGGGGCAGGATTAGAACCCAGGAGCCACCTTCTTAACTGCAAGGTGCTACTGCCTCTAGAGTTGATTTCCCGCCTCTGCTCTCCCCTCCTCAAAACCACACCACTAGGGGTGGGTCAGGGGAGGCCTGGGTAGGGCCCCTTCTCATTCCCTGCCAGCTCCCACACTTAGCTTTCCCAGAAGAAAAGAGACCTCTTGTCTCCATCTGTACAGCTAGTGGTCAAGGGTTTAGTCCCTCTCTGGGCCCTCTTGGGGAAGCTGCCAGCTGCAGACACGGCAAGGCACTCTCCCTGTTCCCCACCCAAACTATCTTTCTGGACCCCTGGGGGTCACCCGCAGACGTTCTGACTGCACCCTCCTCTGGAGCGTTTCTCTGGGACGCAGGCCCGCCCGAAACCTGGGGAGGCGAGCAACCGCCGCCCAGGCATGTGCGCACCGCTAGATGGCAATGTCGGTCCCTGGGTGCCAGCTCCGGACCTGGAGAGGATGGCCGCTATTCGCCACCGCCCCCAACTCCAAGGCGACTGGGAGAGCAGTGGAGGTCCCAGGCCGGGCCTCCCAGGGGAGGGACTTGGGGCCCCCTCTACAGGCCTCACCCCGTAGCTGCCTTTAGGCCTCACCCCGTAGCTGCCTTTGGCTCCGCACGGGGTTCAATGGTGGGAAAGTTAAGGGCGCCTGGTTCCACCCCTCACGCGGCGAGGAAAGTGTGGGCGGGAAGGCGACTGCGAGTTCTGTTTGTGTGTGATTACTGGGAAGCTCGAGTAGAAGCTAGTAGCTGTCTGCATGTGCGTGTGTGCGCGCGCTGGGCCACGCCTGGATACCAGTGCGCCCGTGTGCATGTGAGCATGCTCGCGCGGTGTGGACACGTGCATGTGCATGCGTGTGTGCGCCTGGAGTGCTGCGGCCTGGGGGATGCACACGGTTCGGGTGTGCCTGTACCTGTGAGCTTGTGTACACGAGCAAATGCAGGTCCCACAGTGGGTGACCCGCCACATTCTAAACGCCCCTGTAGGGAGGCTCAGCCCAGACTTCGGCTGTCTGAGTAGGAAGAAGGTCGGGCGAAGAACCGGTGTCTAGATGGCGCCCCGCCTGTGCATGGGGAAGAGTCGCCGGCAGGACAAGACCGGACTACAGTCTGGGCTGCGACAGACCCCCTGACCTTGGGGGCGTCTTCTTAGCAGAGAGTCCTCTGGTGTCTGCGTCCCCAATGCTGCGGTGCAGAGTCCCAGGCTGGGACTGACTTCTGTCGAGGGCTGCTGCTAGAGTCTCTCAACCGGGCTTGCGGGACGCTAGGTTCAGCTCAATGTGCCCACTGTGCAGTTATCGCCAAAGGGCGCCCAGTCTGCCTGGCAGGAGGGTGCTTGGTCGGGCCTCGTTGGGAATTATTACTGGGCCCATCTGGAGGCTCCTCCATGTCTCCGTGGTTGTCGAAGGGGACCCGGCTCTCCCGTGCCCCACCCTCCCCCAACTCCCTAGAGCGCAGTTCCTGCAGCCTCTGGGCGTGGGCACCGTGCTTTCCCGGGTCCTGGAGCCCCCCCTTCCCGGACGCGATGGGAGCGTGTTCCCTGGACGCCGGGGGTGGGGGTGGGTCCTCGATTCCTAGTCGTTCACTCTAGGGCTCCGGGAAGGCTGTGGTCTCTGGATCTGTCCCTGGGGCGGGAGAGGAGACTCAGGAGTTGCGGGGAGAGAGAAAGCGCGCAGGGGATTTGGCACCAGAGCCTGAAGCTTCCGCCCTGGGGCTCGGGCCTTGGCGCTGGACCTCCCAGTCTCTGAGCCTGGGCAAAAGAGGTGGGGAGTCTTGGAGGGGGGAGGGGCACCAGGAGAGGGCAGTGGTGTTTTCCGTCGGAGCTCAAGGTCGCTGATGGAGGACTCCACGGACTGGAGTGGGCTGGCAGCGCTGGGGGGTGGGGGCGGGGAGACGGGCGGGAAAAAGGCTCTTTGGGGCTCCAGCGCCCGGCGCCCTGCAGAGCTGCCAGAGGAGGGCAGAAGTGCGGGGTCCCGCCCCCGACGGCTGCCCCTGGCTCCTGGCGGGCTGTGCGCGGGCACACACACCACCACCACCACCCGACCCACTGAGAGTCCATTCCTTCCCAGAGGCGCACCCGGAGATGCCTCCGGGCGACTCCGGGCCTTGCTTCCAGCGGGCCCCTCGCCCCCGGGCCCTCTGGAGCTCCCAGCGCCGCGCTCGCCCCTGAAGGAGCCTGAGGCCCTGGCCCAGTCGGGCCCGCCTCGGGGCGCCTCAGAGGGTCCAGAAGCCACGCGTCCTTCTCTCCCAACCGAGTCCCCCGCCCCCGCGCTGCCGCGGAGTCACTTACCAGACACCTCCGCCCAGTTCCCCTCGCACCTGACAGACGGCTGGACGGGCAGGTGGCCCCGCGGGCCAGCGGGTGGGGCGGGCGGCCGGGCCGCGGGCCGGGGGCGGGG